AACTGACAGACTGTTTGAAAAAGTTTAAATAAAGAAATAACTAATGGCTGACTCAGGTGAATATGAATATTCTAAAATAGTTAATCTGTTAATTTAACTCCCATTACAATTCAGAAATGCCTCACATCTGTCTGAAATGTCATATTTCCTGTATTCTGAATGAGCTGTATGGCTACCAGTAGTTTGGAAGTTGTGTTTTAAGTGGGAAAAGGAGTCACAAATGGGTTGATGCATCATTGGTGGATGCTGAGTTCAGTTTTTAAATCTGTTCCTGGATTGTTCTGAGAAAGTAAAGCACCTTCTCCTGGACAGGCCTTTTTGGTGCAGGTTGTTTTAATTGCTATGAGCAACAATAAACGTAATTCAAACGTAAAATTCAATTCAGGGGCTCCTTAGATGGAGACAAGAGTGTGTGTGTGTGTGTGTGTGTGTCTCATCTGAGGAATGGGACATTTACACATCAGACAGAAAACAGAGTTTTAAGGTGAAACATGTTTGCTTGAGGATCAGTGGATCAATGAATTTAGTTCAGTTGAATTTGATTAGTTTCCTTGACAGTTTTTGTCCAAAAGATCAGTGACCAGGTGTGATAAGTGGTACATGTAAAACTTCTACACATGGTAAAACAAAAGCTGCATTTGTTTTCCGGAATAGATCGAGGGGAAAAAAAAAAAGGAGTTTTTTTTTTATTTATTTGTGAAATGTTTCGTGCTCCAGAGAAACAAGAAGGAGTTTTAAATCCACTGGCTCTTTGCTAGCCTCTGTTCAGTTAGTGAAAGGGAATCAGTTTTTCAAAAAGGCCTTTGTTCATCTTAGTTTTCTTCTTTTCCCTAATACTGGGTTATACGAAATTTTGTCCATAGCTGTGCAAAACCAAACTTCCTCAGAAAGAAGAAACCCAATTCTAATATGTGAACAATAACTAAAACAACGTATTCATTCTCATGGAGTGAGTTTATGAGGACAGTCTACAAAATCGTTTTTATTTTATTCCTATCCGACCATCTTGGTACATATAATATAATCCATATTAAACGCTGTCGTGTGAACACCTGAGTAAATCAGCAAGCAGTGAAAGTTAGTTTTCTCTGTGAAAACGTCACTCTTTTTCTGTCGGACAAAAAGATATTTCCAGATTTTTTAATTTAGATTTTAGTTGGGAAATTCTCTATCATTTGAAATGAAATTATTGGGAAGCAAGTTTCTCTTTTCCTGCTCGAGTCGTGTGGCTTCCCCTGAGGGCCGTTGACTATCAGAAATGAAAGCCTTGTTAAATCTTTATGGAAAGTGTTTTTTCCCCGTAGGGTCACCAGTGTTAGGAGCCCCTGGCCACTGTCGCACACGCACAGACATGCTCACCAACACCACTAGAAGAAAAACAGGAAGGCTATTCTCCATGCAACAAGTGTTCACAACACCAGTGGGACCATTTTTGAGAAACTACCAAACAAATGTATTAGATTTGACAAAAATAAAAATGCACAAGATGTAACACATTTCATCAAACCAACAGAGGAAAAAGAAAATGATTTTTCACATTATCTAGTCTGTGTTAAAAATAGAAATTCACCCGTTACATTTACTCTGCACTTTTTGATTATTTACATTTATGTACATGGATTTCCTTTAATCATTAGTCTTTAATGTCTTTATCAACAGTTTACAAAAGAAAGAAATTTGCAATCATATGCATATACTCTTCTAGAAAGATGTGCTTACTAACTTTTTTTTTAAACTTGAAGCAGATGGGGATATGAAAAGAAATGGGAACATTGCATTGCTCTGCACTGCTAAAAACAACAAAATCCCTCCAAACGAGTTTTAAGATTTTACAAACTGACGCAAAAACTACATGTTCTTAATGTAAACCCAAGTAGACCTGACTTCACTCTTTTCTAGGAACAAAATGATCTCAGTTAAAGAAAAAAACAAAAAGTAGCTGTGACCACACCTGGATGCATCCACAATAAAAACGATAATCTGCCCTCTTCAAGTCGTGTGCTCGGCTCACAGAAGGCTGAATCTCAGCCCCCCACCTTTAGTCTCACCATCTAGTTTGTTTTTGTGTTTTTGCAACAACTTCAAATGATCCTAAATGCCTTTTTTTTGGTTTGTCAAATGGAAAATCAGGGTGAAGAAGCACGCTCCTCTAAGCCCCTCGCTGAGGACCACGGTTTGTGTGTGTGTGTGTGTGTGTGTTAGTGTGTGTGTGTGTAGTCGTACAGTGCTTCCAGTGGTGGCTTCTACACATCCTGGCGTTTCCTTTTAGGTCTTGTGACAAACTGTGTGAGTCCAACTACCAATTAGTGCTCTACTTCTGAGTTTAGAACATTGCCGGGAGCAACGTCTGTGTTTTTGTTGCATAATCAAGTTTAGCCCCGATCAGGAGCTGAGAAAAGGGCCAGCGGGGGGGTCACTTCTGCTCTGAAAGTTTAAAAGTGTGCTGATTGGAAATAAAACCCAACCACGGGTCAGATTGATGATTTTAAAAACTTACTAGAGAAAATACAGAAGAAGAAAAAAGTTATTCATTGGTATTTTATGAAACTTAAATAAGAATAGAACTGACCCCCCCTCCCCACTGTGGCAGAGATGCGAGTGAGGAGAATGCTTGGTTTCCGCATGATTTAAACCGTGAGGTTTAAACTATGTGATGGACCCTGGCAGGCCGACACAGTACCTGGTTTCTCCCAGAACCTCTGACCGACGGCCACCGGCCGGCCGGCCCCGCCGGACACTGGACCCTGCTCTGACCGAGGGTGCTGCTGGACCGAAAACAGAACAAATAACTTTTACGCAGCTGAACGCGTGATTTGGGGCAAGTTTAAAAGATAGAAGCAGCTCATGGGAGCAGAATCCTGCAGAAAAAGCTTGTTCGTCCAGCGGTCAGCGCTGGCCGGCCAGACGCGTCCCTCAGAGGTTCTGTCTGCGCCCTTACAGATCGACTTCACTTATTAAGGCTCAACGGGCAGGAGGTAAAGAACAAGTGCCCGGAACACACACTCATAAAAATGGCCTACTCTGATTATGTGTTTATCTCCAGACGTGCACTCACCCAAAGGCACACACATGAACAATACACACACACACAATACACACTCAGAAATGTTTCCCTGTTCCTTGTGTGGGTTTTATGCCTCGTGCTGTTTTGTGTCAGCCCTATCTTTTTACAGCCTCAAAAGAAAAAGGATCTAATATATATATTTTTTTTATTAAAAAGACATTTTGTTCAGCCATTCTTTTCAGAGTAGCAAACCTGGCAAAAGTTTTTGTTTTTAGTCGACTGAAGGCCTTTTTTTTGTAAAACGGCAATAACACATACAAAGCAAATACTGGTATTGAAGAAGAGTCAAAAGGGAGTGTGCGGGGGGGAGGGGGGGGGTACACAACAATGAGAATGATACATTGAAAACAGATTAGTTTCTATAAAGTTCACAGTCTTGTAGCTCCGTGTACCGGGGAAGGATGGGCAGGGGGATATTATCTGTGTTTGATGTCACTGCAGCCGCTGTGTGTGTGTGTGTGTGTGTGTGTGTGTGTGTGTGTGTGGGCAGAGGGGGGGGGGGGTCACTGCATGGAAGCACACATACAGAGTCACACACCGATATCCAAAGTAGAGTAAAAAAGAAATGTGTCTGTTTTTGTGATTTTTAGACCATTTTCCAAAGAGCACCAAGGGCCAAGCAACCCTAGGAACCACAAGTTCTGTTTTCCCGTCCTTATTTTCTTGTTTATCTATGATGCAGTTTGGAAGTGGACATGAGGATAATTGTATTAATATTTTTTCCTCCACTGTGTCCACACTTAATAAATCAAAGCCTTCATGTTAGAGTGGTCAGAGATGTTGGTCTAGACAAAAAACTAAAGTGACTGGACTGACGTGAGTCTTCTGGTACCAATGTGTACCAGAAGAGTTCTTAAATTAGACTATAGCTTGTTTAAAAAAAAGTCATAGACCATTCAATCATAAGGATTCAGTAGGAAGGAGATGTGAAGTTCTGGTGTTTTTGGGAAGGTGCTTGGGTTCCTGCCTGTTCCTGTGGAGGAAAAGCACTACGGGGAGAGGGGGGCTCTGAGTAACTTTAGTTTACGCTGATAAATCACATCTAATTCGGAGTTTGGGAACTCTAGATACGTACAGAATTCAAACTGTTTTAAAACATGATAAGAGCAGCTGGAGTGACATTCAAATTGAGATTAAAAGCTTAAAGAGTAGACGTCGTTTCTCTTCCTGCCCCTCTTCCTCACCCTCTCCTTCTGCTGGAGGCAGGGCTGGATGGATGGATGGATGGATGGATGGTGGGATGGATGGATGGATGGATGCAGTGGATGGAAGAAAAAGTTCCTGCTGCCGAGTGTCCTTCGGTCCATCCTTCAACTTTGGAGCGAAGAATCGAGTTCAGAATCTTCTGGAGGGGACAGTGTGGATGATTGTTACGTTCACCATGCATGCACACAAACGTACAGACGCGTTCCCAGTGATCCTGTCGTTTCAAAGTGAGGACGGGAGGGGACAGACGGTGGACCGGGCCTGTAATCCTGCTGGGGTGGGGGTGAGGGGGCGAAGGGCAAAGTGTGCTAGCCACGATTCGCAGGAACCGAGACGTCCGGGGTGGGTCTGTGCGGCGGTCAGAGGGGGTTCACATCATGACGTGGCGGCGGCGGTGCAGGGACAGGTGGTCGGAGCGGGAGAAGGAGCGGTCGCACTCGGTGCAGCGGAAGGGCTTGATGCCCGTGTGCTTGCGGAAGTGTCGGGTGAGCTCGTCGGAGCGGGCGAAGCGCCAAGTGCATCCCTCCCAGGTACAGTGGTAGGGCTTCTCTCCTGGAGGCACACAGCACTCACTGTTACAGTCACTGGACACCACACTCTCACTCAGGGCCATCGTTGTGACCATATTTTGATTTAGCTTTATTTAAAGAATCAAATTTGTTTGATATTAGAGAAGCATTACTGTCTGCTACATACAACCTGATACATAAGGACTGGATACAGTTCTTCTAAAGGTGAATATCAATATCTACTAGATTATTGAACTGATTAAAATGTGCATTTGTTACTTTTGGACGATGATATTGGATCTGTTTTTGGATTCCTGTGCTGTGTCTTCTGTGTCTGGTGTGTCTGGTGTGTTTGGTGTGTTTGGTGTGTCTGGTGTGTCTGGTGTGTTTGGTGTGTGTCTGGTGTGTCTGGTGTGTCTGGTGTGTCTGGTGTGTCTGGTGTGTTTGGTGTGTCTGGTGTGTCTGGTGTGTTTGGTGTGTTTGGTGTGTGTGGTGTGTTTGGTGTGTCTGGTGTGTCTGGTGTGTCTGGTGTGTTGGGTGTGTTTGGTGTGTTTG